ATTTTTGTCCCGATTTCCACTGATTTCTTTAGGACAGATCCTAAGAATTACTGGATCAAAGGACAAAAACTTTGTCGAGGTTCTTTTTTTTTTTTTTTTTTTTTTGTCTTTTTCCGTGTCCGGCAACGGATCGCAACCCTCAGTGTCGCCCCTGTACCGGACCGGGACCGGCAACAGGATCGCAGCCCTCGGCGTTGCTCCCGCGCCTCGCTCAGCCAGTGAGCGGGAACCGGTCTGCATGTGGGATCCGAACCCTCGGCGGGAGCGCCGCCGCACTTCCCAAGCGGTGCACTATAGCAGTGCGCCACCGGGCCGGCCCTTTGTGGAGGTTCTTAATGAGTGCTGCCAAACTATTTTTCAGAAAGGCTAAAACAGTTTTCTATTGCAGTGTACAAAAGGTACAACTATGTTACCCTACCCTTGTAGAAATGAAAAATTACAAGTTTTTACACATTGGCTGAGATGAGTAAGTTTTCTTTGTTTTGTTTTAAATAATAAATAGGAAATTGTCTAGCACATTGCCCTTCAGTATCCTAGAACCCCCAGCAGCAGGATTCCTACAGCTGAACTTGCATCAAGTATTGCTGGGGGTTGCAAGGGAAATGGAATTAAAGCTGCTTGCCAAGTTAAACCCCACAGAGTACACTGCAGTGCCTGATGCCATTTTCAAGAAGACTTCTACTCTTGTATCAAAAGGAAGTAAATGTTGAAGTGGTCCTTCACAAACCCAGCTAGTGGTATAAAACTCACATGGGGAAAAAAAGTGTAAAGTCCAGTTTGAGTCTTAGTTTTTTCCTGCATACTTAAGAGATTGAGATAGCTTGTGATGGCCTGTCAGTGGGTACTGATGACACTAGAGAACCACTCCTAGAGAATGACTTCTGTCTCTGCTCACTACATCCTATACAGCATACAGCCTTCACAAAGAACAGGCTTAATTGGACCACTGCCGTGTTATGGTAATCCCCACCTCCAGTCATTCTGCCCAATTACCCTGGGCAGAATTTTATGTTCTTCAGAGCACTACTCACAACTTACTATTTGAAACATATCTTGTTTGTTTATTCACTGTCAGCTCCCTTTTACTAAAATGTAAGCTCCATGAAAGGAAGGATTCGTCTTGTTCTCTATTGCACTCCTAGGACCCAAGACAGAACCTAACAAAGAACAGGTGCTCAATAATATTTGTTGAACGCTGAAGTGATTTACTAAGAAGTTAACAAAGCTTAACCTCAGGGTCTGCCATTTGTACAGAATCCTGTGATTGCTGGGAATTGAAGCGTGTTACAGGATAGGGTGGGGTAGGGTAGTCAGGTTGTAAATAGGAAGCCTTTCATATAAACAATTCTGATAAATTGCCTAAAGACAGGTACCTGAATCCAAGGCTCTAGTAATAGTTGTAATTTTTCTTTTTCTTTTAACAGTCACTTTCTCTTAAAGAGGGTGCTATGGATTGATGTCCTCCCAAAATTTAATCCCCACCGTGACAGTGTAAAGAGGGTGGAAAATCCTACTACAGTAATTGAAAGGTGGGGCATTGAAGAGGTGATTAGATTGTAGGATTATGCAGTAGTGAATGGATTAATAATGGTGGTAAGGGGCATGGTTCTGAGGGCTTTAAAAGGAGAGCATGTGAGAGACTCTCTGTCTCTCTGCTCAGCCATTTTCTGCCATGTGAGACCCATGCATTGTTGTAAAGCCACCTACAAAGAAGACCCTCACCAGATGTGTTCCCTGGACTTCAGACTTCCCAGCCTCTGAAACGTTAAGCAATACATTTTGTTTTCTTACAAATTAACCAATTCCAGGTATTTTGTTACAAGCAACAGAAACGTACCAGTACGGAGGTCTCCCCCTGCCGAACTGTGTAAGTTTCAGATCCCAGAAAACCTAGATCTTCCTTTCTTGAATAAATGAATGACTTGCATTTCTGCCATGTCTATTCTCTTCGTTGCTGTTTCTAAGGTTTTTATAAGTTCTATAAATATGAGAGGTCTTCAAAAAGTGCGTGGAAAGATTCATATTATCTTTTAATTCAACTTTTCCATGCACTTTTTGAAGTACCTTTGTATTGCTTCTGTCCCAAATTTTCCCCTCACCTAAGCAATTTTTTTTTCAGACATTATCATCTCTGCTTTGATCTCCTATTTCTAAGAGTTTATATCTTTTTTCTTCGAATGAGAAACATTGGTCATCTAAAATGTTCCTGTATTTTCTGGGACATGTGTACTTCCAAAACAGACCTTTTGTTTACATACAATGCTCCTTACCCCTTCCCCACTTCCTTTTTACTTTTCCCTTGGCTGTAGAATTTCTGCATAGTTCCCAGGTCTGTTTTTGTCAACTTACTTACCTGAGACAGGGGCAGCTCTATCAATCTACCTAAACAGAGTTTGTTTCATGCCATGTTTACATTGCTCTACTGGCATGTTCCTCCAGAACCTGAGCTTAAAGCTTGATATTAATGCATGCTGTTTCTAAATTAGGCTCCTCTGGGTCTATCAGTAGGGGCTAACATAACAGGGATATTGTTTTCTATTCTCTTTTCTTGAATGTTGTTAAATGCCCTGTATTGAGGGTTCTTTCCTGGTCAGTGAGTTATATATTCAAATGACACGTGGCCTTGTGTTTCAGATCTTTCCTCCATAACAAAAGCCAAAGAGCCACCAGCAGTCAGAAACAATAATCCCTGAGCAATTCATGTTTGCCTTTCCCACTGTCTTCCTGCTCAGAATTGGACGGGTGAGATCAGGTGTGAAAGCAAATCCCAGTTTCTTGTAGTCCTGGCTATGGTTCTGCTTATTATAGTGGAAGTAAAAGGCTAGATACATGAAGTTTGGTGAACTAGACCCTATGCTCCCCAATCCCTCATTTACTTTCTCTCTTATTTTTAGCCTTTGTTATGAGTGATGATTAGTCCTATCAATTATTTTCCATTATCCAGCCTTCTTCCCAACCACGGGTGGAAAAAAATAACAAGTGTTGTGGTTCTTCTGTTTATTTATCCAAAAGAGTTCCAAGAGGTCACTATGAACATTTTCTTCGAGCCCCTACTGCTTCCAGTCTGTTTCCCACTAAAGTAAGGGGATTTTTCAAAATTTTATCAAGTCATCTTCCTCCTCATTGTATTGCTTTGTACAGAAGATGGGGGAGAACTTCCCATATATTCCAAGAATGATCTTTTAGTTTCTTTCTAATTGTCCTGTTCCTCTGCTGATACTTTGCAAAGCTTATGGTATGAGGATGAGGTCCTTACCTAATTTCAGGGCCATTACTGTAGACATTGATATTTTCTCCCTCTTTTTATTCATTTAATTAGGTTGGGAGGGGAAGTGTTACGACAATGCATACATTTGACTATCCTTCCTTGGAAGTCCCCAGAGCCATCTTTTAGCTTATTTCTTTATAGTGTGCTGTCAACATTTATTAAACATATACTATATTCAGAACATAAAAGTCCTAACACACAAAGGGATTGAGTAAAAGAACACAAGAATATTAAACCCCTTTAATTAAAATTAAATGTGAATTATTAGGAAAGATTTCCAAAATATACTGTTTTTTAAAGCTGAACTTTGAAGGAAGGGATAGTAAAATATTAACAAAGGAGGCAAAAGACAATTCCAAATGATAGAAAAGACATACACAAAGATATAGAACTGGAAGAGCAAGGCAGACATGAGAGTGGAAAGATTGCCTTTGCTCATTTGAGGTAGACACTAAAAAGGAGGGTGATGAAAAATAAGAATGATAAAGTCAGAGAAAGCAAAGGACAGAATGGAATTGTCACAAGAAGATGAGGAGTGTAGCCTTTACACAGAGACCACAAAAAATGGCTCTATATTCATGAATAGATAATATGTCTTACAAAAAAAATCAAGAGATTATCCTAATCATTTTGAATGGATTGAAACAGTGAGAAAATAAAAAGTCTTACAAAATTAGAGGTCTCTGCAGCCAGTGGAAATGAAAATATTGGCTTGGCTATTAAAATGGAAAGGAAAACATTACAGAGACAGATTTACAGGTTTATATGTTAGACCTAATGTAAAAAGGGGGTGACATTGGTCATAATAAATAAGAAATATAGCCCAAGGTGTCCTGTCTTGGTGGCAATAAGGATAACAAAGAAAAATTTAACATCTAGACCTAGATTCGACAGGCATATTCTCTTTCTTTTCATGGTATATAGTTTGATAACCACCAATTATATTTACTAAATTATATTATTAAGATCATTGTTACCCTTGCTTATCTTTTTGTCCTTATACTCTGATATAGACCAAAAGAAGTACATTAAAATTTCCTATTAAGGGCCGGCCCGGTGGCGCACTGCTACAGTGCGCCACTTGGGAGCGCGGCGGCGCTCCCGCCGAGGGTTCGGATCCCATATACAGACCGGTTCCCGCTCACTGGCTGAGTGAGGTGCGGGCGCAGCACCGAGGGTTGTGATCCCGTTGCCGGTCTGGTCCGGTACGGGCACGACACTGAGGGTTGCGATCCGTTGCCGGACACGAAAAAAAACAAAAGACAAAAAAAAAAAAAAAAAATCCTATTAATATGATTTTTGTCTATTTCTCCTTACATTATCTGCAAATTTTGCTTTTTTTTTTTGGTGGCCGGCCAGTACAGGGATCCAAACCCTTGACCTTGTTATTAAAAAACTGTGCTCTAGGGCTAGCCAGTAAGCTCAGTTGTTTAGAGCACAGCCTTATAAAGTAACAGGTTTGGATCCCAGATCCGGTACCAGCTAGCCACAAAAACAAACAAGGCTAAGCTCTAACCAACTGAGCTAACTGATGAGGCTACGCTCTAACCAACTGAGCTAACTGATGAGCCGGGTTTTGCTTTTTGAATATTGATATTACATTCTTGGATGTAAAGATATTCATAATTTTTATATTCTTATTTCATACTTTAACATTATAAATGGCTTTCTTTGTCATACTGTTTCTTGCCCTAAAATTAATCTCACCTGACTTCAAGATTACAAACTTTGCTTAATTTTAATTTGTATTTGCCTATCCTTTTATAGACTACGGCATAAAATTATGTTTTGCTTTGTGAACCTAACTGAACACCCTTTTCTTTAAGTGAATATAGCCTGTTTACTTTTATTGCTATCACAAATATATTTGGTCTAACATCTATTTTTTGGCAGCTGGCCCATACAGAGATCTGAACTCCTGACCTTGGTGCTATAACAACACACTCTAACCAACTGAGCTAACCAGCCAGCCCTTAATGTCTTTTATATTGTGCATTGTTTTATGGGTTTTAAAAAATATTTTACCATGTGGTTTGTTTTCAATACTTTTTAACAAATGTACATCATGTGTTTTTCCTGATAAATTTGAAAGATCTGTATTTTGCTCAAATGGTTGTGTTTTTAAACCATAATTTTCTACAATATCCTTAATTCTCTTTTTTAACAGTATCTATTCATTTATTTCCTGAAACCATTACAAATGGATATATTTACTTTTCTTCTCCACCTGACACTTTATTTCCTGATCACATTACTATTCTTAATGTTTATCTTTGTACAGTTAAACGTTCTTTTATCTCCATTACTTGATTTGTCCACTTGACACTTCATTTCCTGATCACATTACTATTCTTAATGTTTATCTTTGTACAGTTAAATGTTCTTTTATGTCTATTACTTGATTTGTCAGCTTTAAATAATCTCTTTTGACCTAACTGAGGAAATGTGGAAAAGATAAAGAATTCAGATTTTTACCTATATGGGGGAAAAAAGGCAGCAGCAGTTGGAGCAATTGGTGGTTCCTCAGGAGGTGACAGAACATACATCTGGCTACCTCAAAAAATTGCATAAAAGATGTGGAAACAGAAATGTCTTCCTCAGCCACTTCAGGGAACCCACTACTATGCCCATGGAGTCAAAGGAGAGAAGTAGACATAAAGAAAAACTGTCAGATGTTATGTAAGGATAACCTTTAACCTTACAGATAACCTTTGCACACTGATCATCTTAGTGCCTCTCCTTTCTAGAACTTCCCCATTTTACCAATTAGTTTATAAAGATAGTCAGTGAGAAAAAACATAAAAAGTAACACACACCTCTCCCTCTTCTGACATTAGAGAATTCCTCATTTTCTCCACCTCGCTTCTCACGGTGTGGTGCTCCACTGTTATTTCTGCCATCTTCTCCTCCATGCTTTACTTCACCTTTTCCTTCGACGGCTACCACCTGTATATTCCCAATGTTGCCATTTCCAGGAGATACTTGGACATCTTCAGGAAAACCAGAAGTTTCCAAGGGCTGACTGGGATCACCACCCAAGTAACACTGAAATCGTCCATTGTTTGACGTAATGCTGTCTAAAGACTACAAATTTAAAATAATGTTTAATTAAAAGCTATAAACATAACGTATACAGCACAAAGTTGTCATGGTGATAGAAATACTGGTTTTCTAAAATGTTCTTTCATGTTATTATTAGAAATGTTCTTTTTTTGAAAAATGTCTTCAATTAATATTCTGCTTCCTGTACACAGGGAAGAAACGGAACAGGAATGATTCCACTATGAGCAAAGAATTGAGAAGTTTTAGCATTGAATTGTTCTCATGAATCAGTCATTCATCCCCAAAACATTTAAATCTCTATGCTTACCTTAGTTACTATTCTAAACTCTAGGGATACTATCAAGAAAGAGATAGAATCCCTATCTGCAAGAAGCTTACAATCTTAGTAAGGGAGTCAGAGAAGATTATTACAACATATTTGATAAGTTTTATTAAAAAGATGTACAAAGGATGCTATAAGAACTTGCAGGAGGGGTACCTAACCCATACCAGGGTTGGGTAGAGGTTTGGTCAGGACAGCCTTCCTGGAAGAAATGATATGAACTAAGACTTGAAGAACAAATGAGAATATGCCAAGTCAAAGGATGACAATCATGACAGCATGTGCCAACAAAGTAGTAGTTGGACACAGGATGATTTGAGAACTTTTAAGATTACAAAATCAACCAGATTTGAAGACTGAACGTGGGAGTAAGGAAAAGGAAAGACTGGGCACTAGATGGCTTGGTGATACTCACCAAGATAAGTACTGAGGATAAGGTTGTTTCAGGGGAACTGAAAGAGATAATGGTACAGTTACAAACAAGTAAAAACTGAGGTCCCTAGGCAAAGCGTATAGTAGGGCAGCTGGAATCAGGAGATCTATGTTGGAGTGAGAACTTTGAGCATCATCAGCACGTGATAGTTCAAACCAAGGAAGTAGCAACCAGGGCTATATGCCTGAAGAACAACAAACAGAGGAAGAAAAACTCAAAGAGGAAGCCTATGAGAAGCCTAAAGATGTAAAAAAAAAAAAAAAAAAAGAAAGAAAGACACCTAAAAGAATGGTGTGAAGAAAGCCAAGGAAATATTTTCGAGGAGAGAATAGCTAATATTGTATAATGATGTTCAAATAAGATAGGAAATGTAAAGCATCCACTCAAATTAGCAACAAAGGTATGTTGACATGTATGGCAGAAATCTGACGGAAGTAAATGAGTGTAATAAATGAACACAACCAACAAAAAGCCTGGCCATGAAGTGAAGGAAGGAAATACGACAATAGTTGGAAAGTATCACAAGGTTATAAAGAGTATTTTCTTTTAAAGATGAAAGGGTTATGACTATGTGTATAGCTTGAGAAGAAAGAACCAGAAGAGAAACAATGGTGGGGAATAGTCTAGACCGGGTAGAAAAGATGAAGGTCCCCAAATTATAAGGTGGGAAGAAATATGACACAAGCAAAGTAGAGGAAGTGTCCTTAAATGGGAAGAACATGTCATCCACTGAGGTGTGAAGAAACGTAGCAAGGACTGAATAGGTGTAGCTTACAGTCAGTAAATTAAAAAATAAGTGTCAAGCCACAGAGTTGAAGGAGCTACAACCTAATGGCTTCTATCTTCTCAATAAAGAAGACAAAATGATTTGATGAAAACAAGGGAAAAGTTGAGATGGGACTTATGAGTATCAGTCCCCTACCCATACCACCAATTCTGATAGACTCTAGCTTCTTATGCTTTAGATGCTACTCAAAGTGTGTTCTGCAGACTGGCAGCAACAGCATCAACTGGGAGCTTCTTAGAAATGCGAATTCATGGGCCGGCCCATGGCTCACTTGGGAGAGTGTGGTGCTGATAACACCAAGGCCACGGGTTCGGATCCTTATATAGGGATGGCCGGTAAGCTCACTTGGCAGAGCGTGGTGCTGACAACACCAAGCCAAGGGTTAAGATCCCCTTACCCGTCATCTTTAAAAAAAAAGAAAAGAAATGCAAATTCGAAATCTGAAACTCTGGGGTTGCGGCCCTGGAGTCTGTGCTATAACAAACTCCCCTTTAAAGAAGCACTGTTTAAAGAGATAAGAATATGTAAGACAAAGGAGAAGATTTTTTCTCTCTCTTATTCCCATCTTAGAAATCTAACCCACCTCACAAAATTCCAAGTATACTACTGGTCTGCATTGGTATAATGGTTGAAATGATACCAGAAGCATATATACATATAAAACATTTCATATCTCCAAGTCTCTGTTTCGGTTTCAGAACAGTACTTCCAAACCACTACCTATCTAAATGGTTATTTTAGAACATAGTTCATTTTTAGATTCTGCAAAGCAATAATGGCTAATAATTCAATCTTTCAAAGTTTCCACTTTTTGGAAAGGGATCTATAAAGTACTCAACTTATTTAAATTTAACTGAAAATAAAAACTATGAAATAAAAAATGACTTTCTTTTAAACAATATTTTGTTAAGTGAGATGAGGCCCTTGAAAGCATGCCGCTCTCTCTCACCTCAGAGATTTAGTTAAAACCAATAAGACGTAGTGCTTTCAGACCATGAACCCTATGGAGAGAACAGAAACTGAGGCAAACTATATAGCAACAAGGTAAAAAGATTACTGTACTCAAAAAGCACTACAGAAATCCTGAAAATAAAATTCTAATACTTTTCTAAAAAATAATAATTTATTACAGATCATCTATTATGGGTAAAGAAGTTATTATTCTAAATATTATTTAGAATTGAGGTTAGATTAATAAGTCAGGTAATAAAACAAGATTTTAATTATACTAGCAGATTGGCTAAATACCTCAGTGGATAACATATATCGATGAAGTCTGGGGACATAATAAATAATGGCTCCTTAAAACAGGTAAATACTAGGGAACACTTATTCTATTTTATGGAATGACGTGTTGCCTGATTTTAGAATAACAATAAAGCTAATTGAGATCTCTAAAAAAAACAAACAAACAAAAAAGACAGGTAATACTACAAGTCATAAGAAGTTGAACAAAAAGGTACTCATTATGAAAGCGATAAGGTAGAACACAGTTAAATTCAACACTGATCAAAGAAGGAAAAAGAAGAAATCACATATGCAACAATTAGTTAGAAAATTAAATACAAAGAAAAAATATTCCACAGACGACTATAATGCTTATTTTTAACCTTTTTATTGTGGAAAATTTCAAATAGACTAGAGTACTAATCATCCAGTTTCGACACTTAGCACTTCAGAGCCACTCTTGTTTCACCTATTACCCCCACCCCATCCCCAGTGAATTATTCTGAAGCAAATCCTAGATATCAAGCTATCAGACTATTTTAAAACACTTTATTGCAACAAAATAAATATATACCAAAGATTTTCAAAATATTATTTACTCTGGGGGGGAGGGTATGATGCTTAACTGACTCATTCACAAGGCCATTACAGGTTTCTAAAAATACTTTTATAAGTTGAAATCAATGAGAAAAGGAAAACGTTCAAATGATAACAGGCAAACTATAAATGTGACATTACTGGTCCACAAAAAGAATGTGAAAATCACTTTGATTCTCAAGGACTCCAAAGTTGATAATAGATATTATATAAATGTATTTTTAAAAGAATCCACCTAAGACATTTGTGGATGACAACCTGTAATTAACCTAGATTTGGTGAGGGTGGTGATGAGGTGGGGCTGTATCTTATTTAAGGTTTCCTTCAGGAAGGGACATCTGAGTTAGGGTTTAAAGGATGTAAAGGAGTTAACTCACTGAATGGGGAGAAGGTACTCTCCAGGCCAAATGAATGTAAAGATGCTGGCTGGTGCTGGAGGAAAGAATGGAGAGGGACTTGACATATTAGAGGAACAAATAGAAGGCGCTGTGAGTGGTGAGCAAACACCAAACAGGAGAGTTGTGTTACGAGGGGCCAGTAAATAGGAGTCACATCAGACAGTCCATTTTCACCAACCTTCCCCCCCAAAATTTTTTTTTCCTTTTTGTCTTTTTTCGTGACCGGCAACGGGATCGCAACCCTCGGTGTCACACCCTCACCACGCTCAACCAGTGAGCGGACCGGTCTCTATATGGGATCCGAACCCTCGGCAGGAGCACTGCCCTCTACCGAGTGCACCACCGGGCCGGGCCCCCCCCAAAAATATATTTTTTAAAAAAGAGAAAATAAAAGGGAATCTGCGTTTTTATCACTTCTCATTTTCATTTGTCACTAATTTCAGCTCATTATCAGTTTAGCCTCCTTATCATTATTCTTCCCATCTATGCTACTCATTTGTTTTTGACCTTAGTTAAAAAATATTTTATTCATGTGTTTGTAAAATTAGAAAAAACTAAGAGGTAGGGGCCAGTGCTGATAACATCAAGGCCACGGGTTCGGAACCCTATATAGAGATGGCTGGTTAGCTCACTTGGGAGAGCCTGATGCTGACAACACCAAGTCAAGGGTTGAGATCCTCTTACCAGTCATCTTTTTTTTAAAAAAAAAAAAAAGAGGGCCGGCCAGGTGGCGCACTGGATAGTGCGCCGCTTGAGAAGCGCGGCGGCGCTCCCACCCGAGGGTTCGGATCCCACAGACCGGTTCCCGCTCGCTGGCTGAGCGAGGCGCGGGAGCAACGCCGAGGGTTGCAATCCCGTTGCCAGTCCCCGGTCCGGTACGGGGGCAACACTGAGGGTTGCGATCCGTTGCCGGACACGGAAAAAGACAAAAGACAAAAAAAAAAAAAAAAGAAAAAAAGAAAAAAAGAAAAAACTAAGAGGTAAATTTAACTGCATTATTAAATGAGTGGGGAAAAAAGGAAAAACACAAATAGAAAAGTTAAAATCATTGTTTCAAGGATGAAAAAGATAAACAAAGACACACCGAACTATACTAGAAGGGGGGTGAGGGAGAGAGTGGGGAGAGGATGTAAAAGCACTAAATAAATAGAGCTGTCAAAATCATCCTCGTAATTATCAATAAAAGCTGCTGAAGAGAAAAAAAATTTATGGACTTTCCATAATTTTTTTTCAAATTTTCTCTTCCAAGAAAATTCTCTTCTTAACTGAATCTTAGTTAACTAAAATTTAAAAATTATCTTCGCTAAAAATTCAGTCCAGGGGATTATAAATTTATTTATTTGAAAATTATTCAATTTTCTTGACCATTAATCAGTGTTTCAAACATAAGGTCAAGCATAAAGGTGTGTAGTAGGCTATACCATACAATGAAATTGCCTAACCACACATTTCTCAGAACATATCCCCATTGTTAAACAACACATGATTATATCATAAATTATAATAGAGTTTTTAAATATTAATTTTTCTCTGAATATTCCAGAATTTTATATATTTTTAATTCACAAAAAATAACTAAAAATACAAATGTTTAAACATTGTAGAGTTATGGTTTCAAAGTGATGAACAGCATATAAATTTGCTATTAAGAAGCTATGCACTCAGGGCCAGCCCGTGGCTCACTCGGTAGAGTGCGGTGCTGATAACACCAAGGCCCCGGGTTCGGATCCTATATAGGGATGGCCAGTTTGCTCACTGTAGGAGCCGTGGTGCTGATTACACCAAGCCAAGGGTTGAGATCCCCTTACCGGTCATCTTTTTAAAAAAAAAAAAAAAAAAGAAGCTATGCACTCAATTCTGATATACCACTTTGAAAATTTACTAATCAGAAAATGTCACCTTTACCTCTTCCTGTCCAAACTGCTCCATAGAATCACAGTAAACTTCACTGTCTGAATCACTTGTCAAATGCTGAATTCCTGAAACATCTTCAACATGATCATCATTTACATCTAAATATGAACAAATGTCCAGGCAGTATAATTATTCTAATAGGAAAAAACACATTTATTTCATTTTCAAAATTCATCAGCTCTATATTATCTTGATACTGAGAGACGAATTTGATTTACCAAGCCATACTTCTTTTTTTTAAGTCATCAAAACTTTAACTTTAGTTGATAGTTTTTATCTGAAAAGATTATAAAGTATTTTTTCACTGAATTTTATGATGACACTGTCCAGATGAAAGCTTACAAAACCTAATAATCTTATAAGAAAAAACTGACTACCAGCTAGGAGGTCAACTATGGGATGACCTCCCATAGCTGGGATGCAACTATGCAGGTTTGGTTGCTACACTAAGAAATAATGTTTCTTGGTTTCTCCACTGAATTGCAGCAATGTTATTAATTTACCATATACATACTATGGGTTCACCCCTAGCATCCTAGGATATGAAAAGACTAAAACTTATCTTTGCTGATTGGAGAATAAAGGCATCATATAATCAGAGGTTAAAAGAAACATCAGAAATAAAAGAAAAAATTTCTAAGATTTTATTTTAAAATATCATATGATAACACAATAAAAAATGTTTCAATAAAAATATAAAAGCTCTGGCCCTAATGCACTGTCTTTCATAACTATAAACCTTTATAATACTAATAAACCCTAAGATGTTACTAAATAAGAGATTTTTAAATTCTAAACTGCTCCTAAATATCCCAAAATTATTAAAAGAATATTTTATTCATAGAAAAGAAGCTGGACAAAGAAGTACGTATTGGGACAATACCTTGGTGAATGCAGATAGCAGTTTTTTCGGTTTGCTCTAAGTTTTGGTCTACAGGTTTTACTTCTTCAGTGCTTCTGCCATTCAGGGAAGAACTGGCATGAATGTCATTCTGCAAATCCTGACCAAAGCTGTCTTTATCATAGCCATTAGTGACAATGATTTCCAAATTCTTATGATCTTCTGATTTCTTCATCATTTTATCATCTTTTATGAGAAAATGGAGAAATTCATAAAAGTTCACAGTAGGTTAACTTCTGAATACTGTGTTCTAACATCCGGTAATCACTTCCCCAATTTACCATAATCCCTTTCAAGGGTTTCCTACATGGATTGGAGAGATGAAGTGCTCCTTGAAAAGGGGTTTATTGTATGGTGAGAGCTCATCCAAACTGTGTTAGCTTCAAAACTACTTTAGTTCCTTGTGAATCCTCTAGAATCCCTTTTAAAAAATAATCTCTCGAGGACTTTACACTCTCTTAGGCACAGGCGAATTGCTCTATGAGATCTAGCCATGCAAATGGGTCCACATAGCCAATAAAACAATCCTTAAAGAAGGTATTATTCATCACAACTTAATGGAAAGTGAAGCCAAAACTAAGTTGTGCAGGTTGATTTAGGGTCTTTCTGTCTCCCCTTTCTAAAACAGTCTTCCCATAAATCATTGGTACTATTACTAACAAGTCCCCACTAATGCAGTACTCTATGATTTCAATGTTCTTCAAATTTCCTGCTTCTTTCCTATTCTCTGGATTCCATTCTATTTTTGGTAAGATATTGAAAGCTTAACTTGTCTTCTGACTTTGGTAACACACACATATTCATATTGGAAATATTAGATCCATTAGATATGTACTACCTTAAGATAATTCCATTAGATATGTATTACCTAAAGATAATATGTATCTAATGCAGCATTTCAGGCAGTACATGTGGAGGAGTGGCCTATTCTTGTCAGCCTTCAATAAATACCTATTTCATTTATGCACAAGGCTGGCTGTCCCTACACTCTCTAGTAGAGCCTTTGGTTCACAGAAAACCTGGTTATAGGGTCAGCAGCCCATGTCCTACACATGCACTAATCTTATGCAATACCAAATCGGCCCAAATGTCTTCATATCCTTATTTAATGTAAAATTATTAACCCATTATTCAAAAATTACCATTTTCACTTTGTCCTGCTCCTTTCACTTCTATTTGGGCCTCTTCTTCCTCAGACTCAGCTCCACTATCACTGCTTTCAGCTTTACCATTAACGGTTTTGTCATTTGGAGAAGTCAGAACATTACCGAGATCTAAAATATGAAAAGACCACTTAATCGTTAATGTCATAACTTACAAATAATAATTGTAATTTATAAATAACTAACAAAATCATTTTGAATTAAAATGTTAGAATTTTACATATAATTAATAGTATTCTGGGCCGGCCCGTGGCTCACTCGGGAGAGTGTGGTGCTGATAACACCAAGGCCCCGGGTTCGGATCCCATATAGGGATGGCCGGTTCGCTCACTGGCTGAGCGTGGTGCTGACAACACCAAGTCAAGGGTTAAGATCCCCTTACCGGTCATCTTTTAAAAAAAAAAAATGAGAGTTGTAAGACTTGCTTCCTTGGATTGCTGTGAGAGTTTAATGGGATAACATAAGTAAAGTACCTGTCATATAGGACATATAGATTTAGAGATGTGTGTAAGAGTATAAATAATAGACATAAAGTAAATACAATAGCATAGATACCATTGAAATTTTCCCTGTACTGGCCAGCTGCCAAAAGAAAAAAAAAAAAAGCAATTTGATGGAAGGGAACTTGTGATGGGCAGACTGGCGGTGGAAAAGTATGTCATATTAAAAAGAAAATATATTAAGGGGGCTGGCCAGTTAGTTCAGTTGGTTAGGGAACAGCCTTGTATCACCCATATCAAAAAAAAGAAAGAAAATATATTGAATAGAAGAGTCAGATATCACAAGTGTGTACTTGATAAATTTTTACAAACTGAACACACTCATTTAACCATCACTGTGGGCAGAACCATATACTGTGTATGATTTGAATCACTTAAAATGTGCTGAGACATGCTTTATGGCCAACTTTTTTTTTAAAAAAAAAAAAAAAAAAATAGTATTCTTTTACTATAAATCTACAAATATTACACAAATAGACACATTCTTTCAATTATCAGTTTACAACAAAAATGATAAAGTTCTCTTAAATATTTTCTGAACACAGCAGAGAATAAATTATTTTTAAGCTAACATCAATCAAAATAGCAAAGTTAGAGATGAATGATCTTCTTCATATATGGTAAATGAAAAGATCCTTCCCATATGCTAGCATGCTGAAAACATAAATATAATATTTTTGGCCCTAACAACCAATACTATAGTTGGACTCCATTTTTTAAAATTTTATCCCATTATTATCTTTAGGGCTTCAGGTACATAATTTACATTTTTATGTCTTTCTGATATTTAAATTTTTTCTTAAGGCATCAATTAATGTGATCAATCACTTATTCAAACTATTCTATTGGCCAAAGTTATACCCTGAAAGTAAATACATCAGAATTTTTTTTTTTTTTTCTTAAAAGATGACCGGTAAGAGGATCTCAACCCTTGGCTTGGTGTTGTCAACACCACACTCATCTAGTGAGCCAACCAGCCATCCCTATATAGGATCCGAACCCGTGGCCTTGGTGTTTATCAGCACCGCACTCTCCCGAGTGAACCACGGGCCGGCCCAAATACATCAGAATTTTAATGTGTACATGAATCAGCTGAGATCTAGTTAAGATGTAGATTCTGAATCAGCAGGTCAAGAGTGATCTAAGTTTCTGCATTTCCATAAAGCTCCAATGTGTTCCCAAAGCTGCTGGTTACTGGATCACATTTTGAGAAACAAGGAATTCCATTTCCATCAACAATTTTTTAAGATCCTAAAGTCCTCCTCCATTGTCAAGGGTTCAAATCCCCATACTGGCCAGCCCCAGAAAAAGAAAAAAAGATACTAAAGCCTCCTAAGTGGCTACTGGCCAAGAGTGGTCTTATTCCCTAAATTTCTGGGCTTTATTTTTACTTATTCAAACGTATTTTGGATGCTTCCCTGAATCCCAAATAACATTAAATTCTCAAATCTCCATAAATCTTAAACAGTCAGGCCTAAATGAGTGGTCTTCAAAATGTTCATGGAAAGATTCTCATCATCTTTTAATTCCATTTTTCCACAAACTTGTTGAAGTACCCTCATATTCTTTTTTTTTTGGCAGCTGTCTGGTAAGAGGATGAAGTACCCTTTTATTCTTACTTGAGTCTACCTAATTAACAGAACAAAAGAATAAAAAGTCAACTCTATTGTCTATTTAGGGAATCATGGCAGCAGCATAGTTTTTGACTCTTCCATACTCTTCCCCTGACAACCAGAAAAAGCAAGAATAACAAATTTTTTTTAAAAGTGCTGGCTGGTTAGTTCAGTCAGTTAAAGCACAGTGCTAACACCACGGTCCAGGTTTCAATCTCTGTACCAGCTGGCTGCAAAAACAAAACAAAACAAAACAAACAAACAAGAAAAAAAAAATGCTACCACCCACAGACATCTTCAACAAAACCAAGTAACAGGGAATTCCTAAACCCCTATCAAATGGATGGTTGTAGAAAAGCTACTTGACAGCAGCAAAGGCAGCATCACTGCACTTCTGTGATGAGAATTATAGAAAGCAAAGGGAATTACTGACGAGCCACTCAACATCTAAATATCAAATAATGTTGATTTATTACACACCACATTAACAGACTAAAGGATAAAAGCCACATGATTACCACAAGACATGAAGAAAAAACATTTAATAAAATCCAACACTCTTGGGCCGGCCCGGTGGCGCACTGCTATAGTGCGCCGCTTGGGAAGTGCGGCGGCGCTCCCGCCGAGGGTTCGGATCCCACATACAGACCGGTTCCCGCTCACTGGCTGAGCGAGATGCGGGAGCAGCACCGAGGGTTGCGATCCCGTTGCCAGTCCTGGTCCGGTACGGGGGCGACACTGAGGGTTGCGATCCGTTGCCGGACACGGAAAAAAAAAAAAGACAAAAAAAAAAAAAATCCAACACTCTTTCATGATAAAAATGTTGAAGAAACTAAGAATACAAGAGAACTTCCTCAATCTGATAAAGGGCATGAAAAACTCACAACTAGCATCATACTTAATGTTAAAAGACTCCTAAAATAAGGAACAAGACAAAGATGTCTGCTTTTGCTGTATCTACTTAATACTGGACTGAAAGTTCTAGCCAGGGCAATTAGGCAGCAAAAAGAAATAAAAGGCATATAGATTATAAAGGAAGAAATAAACAATCTCTGTTTCCAGATGACATACTCTTGTATATAGAAAACCCTACAAAAAAACTATTAGAACTAGCAAACAGTTCAGTGAGGATACAGGATACCAGATCAGTACACAAAAATCAACTGTATTTATAAAAATTAACAATAAACCACCCAAAAATAAAATTAGAAAACAATTCAATTTACAATAGCATCAAAAAGAATAAAATACTTAGGAATATATTTAATAAAATAAGATATAAGACTTATACACTGTGACAAATCATTGTTGAAAGAAATTAAAGATCTAAATAAATGGAAAGACATCCCATGTTCATGAAATGGAAGACAATATTGTTTAGATGGCAATCCCCAAAATGACATACAAATTCATTGCAATCTCTATCAAAATCCCAGCTGGGTTTTTTGCAAAAATTGACAAGCAAATTCTAAAATTCATATGAAAATGTGAAGTATCAAGAATACCCAAAACAATCCTGAAAAAGAATGAAACTGGAGGAAAACTTACTACATAGGTATATTCTGAAAAAGCCCACATGAAACTGATAAGTCTGTTCTACTGGGCCTAAATGGCTACTTTTAACAAGATGCTTTGTTTTAAAAAAACAGTTAAGATTGCAAACTGGCTTGCAACTTGGCAATATCTTACAAAATTACAAGCACCCATCAAAAACTTCTAATTCCATTTCTAATATTATTTCTTACAGATATACTTCCTCATATGTAAAAGGACATATGTACAGGTTACTCTCAGCAGAACTTTTTGAAGATCAAAACAGAAAATAAGGGCTGGCCCGTGGCTCACTTGGGAGAGTGCGGTGCTGATAACACCAAGGCCAAAGGTTCAGATCCTTATATAGGGATGGCCGGTTAGCTCACTTGGGAGAGCGTGGTGCTGACAACACCAAGTAAAGGGTTAAGATCCCCTTACTGGTCATGTTTTTAAAAAAAAGAGAGAGAGAGAGAGAGAGAGAGAGAAAACAATCTAAACATCCGTCAGAATGGTTCAGGTTAAATAAATTCCAGTGCGGGTCCACAATCCCTTGCTTAACATCTTGGATCCAGATAAGTTGTGAAATCCCAAGTTTTCTAATTTTGCAAAGGTCATATTGTACATATACCATATGGTGTATTATGTAACACCCCAACAGAGTCTAAGGCAGATAGCTCCCTTACTTAAAAAAATAAAAAAATAATTAAGATTTTTGCAGCAAAACATGAATAGTCACACTAAATACAATAAGGATTCAAAATAGACTCACAACATTTCAGGTCAAGTTTTCCTCCTCAATTAGTTCATGTCAGGACAGATTTTGCTGCCAAATGAGTTACAAAAAACCCTTTGGTTTTCAAAGCTTTTTGGATTTTTAAATTATAGCTAAGTAATTGTGGACCTATGCTTTTATTACCATTATTTACTCTTGTCTTATAACTAGTTGTTTAAATATCAGCCTCTGGCCAGTAGGCTGAACACTAATAAGGCAGGTACAGACTTATTTCCCTCTGCATCCTAACAACATGCACGGCTCAAAGAAAACGTTTAATTTTCTGAATTAAATAAGCATGAGTTATAAGGAGGACTATGTGTTAATATTTGACTCCTCTAAGCAAATCAGATATAGAATGGTCTGATACAGAATTATGCCCAGTAAGCAGTCACTATCAGTTGCATATGGTTTATTACCATGACAGATACAAACTACATGGCCTTATTACAGAACAGGTAGATTACTGTTGTGAAATGCTGCAATTTCTGTCAATTATTAAAAGATGCCTTATAAATAAGGGTGCCCAGAAAAAAAAAGAAATGCCAGGCTGATTTTTATTTAAAGTATACCCAATTTTCATTTAAATTGTATCTTGTCATTTCACTCTTTCTAATAAAATTTAAAGAGCAAATGTTTATAGTCAATACCAGTATATTTTGTATATTTTATTAAACTCCTACTAGTATGCAAAATGTAACCCTCTTAATCCTTTACTGAGAACATGAAAACAAAATTCCAAAAAAAAAAAAACAAGAAAAGTGAATTCAACAATGTCTTGTTTTAGCTTGCTATGCTATAGTTAAACCATACTATAAACATATCCATTTTTAAGTTAGCTAGAAAATCATTTAATCCACAGTATTGCTAATAACTTATAAAGCAAAACTAGAAAATATGATCCCCCAAAATAAAACCATGAATTCTGTTATAATTTTGTATATACTAAGTGAACCAATTGGCATATATATATATATATTTTTTTTTTTTTTTTAAAGATGACCGGTAAGGGGATCTTAACCCTTGACTTGGTGTTGTCAGCACCACGCTCAGCCAGTGAGCGAACCGGCCATCCCTATATGGGATCCGAACCCGGGGCCTTGGTGTTATCAGCACCGCACTCTCCCGAGTGAGCCACGGGCCGGTCCGCAATATACATTCTTTTTTTTTTAAAAGATGACCGGTAAGGGGATCTTAACCCTTGACTTGGTGTTGTCAGCACCACGCTCAGCCAGTGAGCGAACCGGCCATCCCTATATGGGATCCGAACCCGGGGCCTTGGTGTTATCAGCACCGCACTCTCCGGAGTGAGCCACGGGCCGGCCCCAATTGGCATATTTTAATTACTTAACACTTAAGGGTTAAAATCTTAAGGGTTTACATCATGTTGTAAGGAGATTGGGGCTGTGGTGATTCGGAGGATCAGGAATTTCCATCTAGAGAATCAAGTTCATCAGGAAATCGGCAAGATGAAGCCCTGTCCTGCTCCCAAGCACCCTTCCACCAAGGGCCTCCTGTGAGGGCAGATGAGCCACCACCCAGAAATTAAGGGAGAAATTGCTAAAAAAGATGACAAGGTGCTGTCATTACTAAAAGATGCGTATGTTGATTCCAGAGACCGTGTCTTTACCATACAGGTAAAAGATGCAGAAACACCTCAAAAGCCAAAGGAATTCAGGTTGCTTTATATAATGAATATTAAGAATATTCCCAAAGGTGAAATTCTGCTGTAGAGGCATTAACACTCTCGATAATAATAAACTTTATCCAGAAACATGGACTACTGAGAAAATAGCACAAGAATACCAGTTAGACCAGAAAGTTGTGAATTCTCTTAAATATTTGTTACTTTTTTTTTTTTTTTTTTAAAAGGAGGACCAGTAAGGGGATCTTAACCCTTAGTTTGGTGTTGTCAGCACCACACTCAGCCAGTGAGCTAACCAGCCATCCCTATATAGAATCCGAACCCACAGCCTTGGTGTTATCAGCACCACACTCTCCCGAGTGAGCCATGGACCGGCCCTTATTTTTTTACTTTTGAAGTCAAAATCTTTCTTCCTAAAGACAAGAAAGCAAAACCAAAATGAAGAAAATCATGAAATTACTTTTCCTATGTGTATTCTATCCCCATGTCCTATTTATTTCTTCATTTTTAGCATAGTAAATTATATAAATTACCAAGTATTTAATGCTCCCTTAAAAAAATAAAATAAAACAATAGTTTACAATATTTTGAAACTTCCTATAATGTGTCTGCTTGGAATGAAAATTCCTGGGTAACAAATCCTTATAAGTTATATAAATTTGTGTAGAATTCTTTTGGCAAGTAAATTTTAAACAAAATTTTTACATGGATTTCATTATTCCTACCTTCTAAATATTTAGAGATTTTCTCCAGTCGGGCTGGCATGTGAAAGTAGAAGAAAAAATTAGACATGTAAATATTAACAAATGCAAAGTACATCTGTTGCAGAATTAAAAGATGGGTAAAATAGTCGAACCTGAGGTTAAATCAGAACTCCTGCCACTCTTTTTGTCCTCTACAATTTCATAAAATGGACCTATGACGTGCAGCAATTCTTCAACTTTCTCAGTCATCGGCATAGTTTCAAGAATCTGCAATCAAAAGAAACAAATACAAATGAAATAAACTATTAGTTTGATCTACACTATTATCAAATAATCAAATATTTCCAGTTTATTGATAATTTTGAGATTTGAAGTTCATTAGTAATTAATAGACTCTCTAAAGGATCTACATTAATTATATACTTACTGTACACATGCTCTTAGAAAAGTTTCATCTTTAATCTTTTATATTAAAGATGTAAAGTGTTTTCATTTTGTAGACTATTTTACATAACCTTCATGTTAAATTTTATACAATAATCTATAGGTTGTACCTTAAAAACTAGGGCTTTAATTAAATAAAACAGAAAACTGTGAGGTTAGAATAAAATTATGAAACCTGTTCTTTAACACCAAGGTAGTGTTTCTAAAAGGGCTCAAAAGTGAAGTAGGAAATGATAACCACTTTCAGACACCTTAACTATGAGTCAATTTAGAATCATCAAATTCAAAGAGCAAGGTAAATTAACTGAAGAGGCATTCAACTAAATAGCCGTTAACTAGTGACTAATCAAAGAAATTAAAGTACTTAGATATGTGGAATAAAAAATTTTTATAGATACTAAAAACAATAAAGTTAACTCTATGTGTGCTGATTAGCAAAATCTCTCTAATTTTTTTTCTATAATAGTCTCTACTTTTATAGCAGTTTTAGGTTTACAGAGAAATTGAGCATAAAGAACAGATTGTTCCCATATCCCACCTCCACCCCCTACCCCACAGTATCTCCTGTCATTAATATGTTACATTAACGTGGTATATTTTCTAATTTTTCTTTACGGGTAAAAAAATTGCTGCACGGTATGTTTCTAGAGTCCATAAGCTGCATGGACTCTAGAAAAGCAGCACCCAAAGCACAGTATTGGTTTTACTTATTTACTTTTTTGGCAGCTGACTGGTAAGGTGATTCAAACCCTTGAGCTAACTGGCCAGACTTTGTTTTCTTTTTTTTTCTTTTCTTTTTTCTTTTTTTTTTTTGGTCTTTTTTCGTGTCCGGCAACGGATCGCAACCCTCAGTGTCGCCCCCGTACCGGACCAGGACCGGCAACGGGATCGCAACCCTCGGTGTTGCTCCTGCACCTCGCTCAGCCAGTGAGTGGGAACCGGTCTGTATGTGGGATCCGAACCCTCAGTGGGAGCGCCGCTACGCTCTCAAGCGTCGCACTGTAGCAGTGCGCCACCGGGCCGGCCCCTCTTTTTTTTTCTTAAAAGATGACCAGTAAGGGGATCTCAAACCTTGGCTTGGTGTTGTCAGTACCACGTTCAGCCAGTGAACCAACCGGCCATCCCTATATAGGATCCAAACCCGTGGCCTTGGTGTTATCAGCACCGCACTCTCCCAAGTGAGTGAGCCACAGGCCGGCCCTCTTTTTTTAACAATAGGACATATACATCCCTTCTGAATCAATCTACAAAATACAATTAAAAGTAATTACCATTACAGAGCAAAAATGGAGGATACAGGGAAGACTCAATTTTCATTTATACTTCTTTTACTGTTTAGATTGGTTTTTTTGCATTTACATAACATATATTACTTTTATTATTAAAATGAACGAATTTGTTGTGTTTTCTTTGGTTTTTTTTTGTCCTTTTTGAGACCGGCTGCACCGCGCTCAGCCAGTGAGTGCTGTGAGCGCACCGGTCATCCCTATATAGGATCCGAACCCACAGCGGGAGCGCTGCTGCACTCCCAGCGCTGCACTCTCCTGAGTGCGCCATGGTCTCGGCCCGAATTTGTTGTTTTTAAGAAACCAAAACCCATTATCTTTCTTGTATATTTTTTCAGCTTATACACAGTTTTAAAGTGGTTACTTTTATGTGGAAAACTCACAGCAACTCTGGACTTATTAGTCACTCTCCCTGCTTTACTGTTTGTTTACTTCCTACCTTCCACAGTACACTGTAAGCTCAATAAAAGGGTCATCATCTCTTTTTGTTCACTCCTGTATTTCTACTGTCAAGCACATAGAAGGTATTTAATAAACAATCTAGTTTAAAACTCTCAAATTCTTGTTCAAACAACATGCTTTTATTTCTAAACCAGATAGAGGATAGATCATCAGTAACTCTGATATGATTTTGAACTGAGATTCCCATCAACACCACCATCCATCGTGTGTATGGCAGGGGAGGTTGCTTTTTTTTTTTTTTTTTGTCTTTTTCAGTGTCCGGCAACGGATCGCAACCCTCAGTGTCGCCCCTGTACCAGACCGGGACCGGCAACGGGATCGCAACCCTCGGTGTTGCTCCCGCGCCTCGCTCAGCCAGTGAGCGGGAACCGGTCCGTATGTGGGATCCGAACCCTCGGGCGGGAGCGCCGCCACGCTTCCCAAGCGGCGCACTATCCAGTGCGCCACCGGGCCGGCCCAGGGGAGGTTGTTAATGAGAGAAATTATACATAATAAACTATGTTAATGATAACTGGTTTTAGTAATTATAATTTAAATGCACAGCTCATAGTAAATTATCTAATTGCTATTCCTATCAATGGATAGGAATGAAAATGCTTTAATCATAAAATTTCTTTTTGCTAAAGGAAATATTTGTTATGAGGCCGGGGCCATGGGGGCACATTTTTATAGCTTATTATAGATATCTAATTTATAATATACTTGGACTGTAATAATAATTCTGAGAATTAGATTCAAACCAAAATTGAAACCATATGGTAATGTTTACTTTGGCATGACCAAAGTCACAGCTAATAAATGGCAGAGATATAAACCATTACATAATAATATGATAAAACATTATATCAGACCCTTTATACTATCCCACACTGCCATAATATAAAGACTTGACCTAGCAGAATCTGATAAGCCAACCATATAATATGCCATCCTGACGCCCACTCAACACCTCCTCCTTTGATCCTTCTCCAAAAGAGATCTTTTAGCTATCTCTCTATTAAAGCTTATAAAAAAAAATCTTTCTCAAATTTGTCCTTAAATAAGCCTACTCCATTCAGTGTTTGGGTTTCTCATACCTCATAAGATGAGAGTGAAGTGTGGAATCGAAATGTCACAACTAAATAAATGGAGTATGTACTGGCACTAAGCAAATATAAAGAGTACTCGTTCTTTCAATAAGCTAAAATTTCAATAGTCAATATAGTGAGAACAGGAGTGGTCATGGCAAGACATATCTAGAATTTAAGACGTTGCTTTCTGAAGAAGAAACTTTAAAAATAAAACAACTAAGAATGATTGATAGAGTTTGGATGTGTTGTTCCCCTAAAACTCATGCAGAAATCTGATCCTCAATGTGACAGTATTGGAAGCTGTTAAGAGTCATGGGGGCGGATCCCTCATGAATGGATTAATGCTCTCCCTAGGTGGGGGGATTAATGAGTGAGTTCTTGCTCTATTAGTTCCCGTGAGAGCTGGTTGTTTAAAAGACCCTGGCACTCTCTCTCTCTCTTTCTCCCCCTCTCTCTCTCTCTCTTTCTCTCTCTCGCTTCTTCTCGCCATGTGACCTGCTTGTATCCACTGGCTGCCTGCCGCTTTCCACCATGAGTAGAAGCATACTGAGGTCCGTGCCAGATGCAGCTGTCCCAGAACCATAAGCTAAATAAACCTCTGTTCGTGATAAATTACCCAGTCTCAGGTATTTCTATTATAGCAACATAAACGGACTAAAACAATGAGCTTAGCTATTTGCAAAATTCTCTCCCTGATGCCAATACTGAAATTCAAGAAATAGCACACATGCACGCACAGACGAGGTGGAGTTAGAGGGACACACACAGACAAGCAGACACAGGCAAATCTCAGTCTAGGTAACTACTACTTACCTTCAGAGAAGATTTTTTTCTAAAGTTATAAGTGAATTAAGTTAATTCAATATATTGCAATCTATCCAAATGACGAATGTTCTAACAGAAATGTTTGATAAGCTGCATGGACTCTAGAAAAGCAGCACCCAAAGCACAATAATTTCTCTAGGTTTATCAAGCACTTCCTCAGTGAGAGACATTTTTAGATGATAAAAGCATACTGGAAAGGTACATATATATCTTACTAAAGCAAAGACTAAATACCTAAAGCTTTTTTTTTTGTCCAAGATGATCACATTTTTTAAAGCCATCCAAATCCCACTGCTGTACTCTCTGTTCAAGGTGTCTCAGCAATCACTAATTCAGTCTCCCAAGTGCCTCTGACCTTTTGAGGACTGTCCTAGATGTCAGTCCTCAGTATGCTGACCACTAGAAAAGTCTATCATAAGAAACTGGCATTCTGGTTTTTCCCTCAACTTCCAAAAGATGGTTATCATGAGTCAAACCTTAAAACAAAAGTCAACTGTCAATGCTCAGAGAAATCCACTGTTCGACACTTGTACAGCTATGGACGAGATCCTTGGCCATGGAAACTTCCCGGTTCCATCCTTTACGAGACCCTGCTCTACTCTTCCCTCTATTGCTGTGATTATCCCAATCTGTTAGAAATCTTGAAATAACTAGTCTGCAGTCATCCTGGGACATTTCTATATTTTCTCAATATCTCCCAGTGATTCTAATATGCAGCCAGGATTGAGTACACTCACCTCTCTTTAAATACAGCAGACATAATGCACATTATTCAAGTGTTGGCTGAATACTCCAAAAATCCCCATAAGATAGGCTCTTACATTTGTAGAAAAGATAGAATTTTATACTTCCCTCTGATTATGAATCAAAATAAACCTTCTTTAAAGAAACATGGATTTTGGGCCGGCCCATGGCTCACTCGGGAGAGTGTGGTGCTGGTAACACCAAGGCCACGGGTTCGGATCCCATATGGGGATGGCCGGTTAGCTCACTGGGTGAGTGTGGTGCTGACAACACCAAGCCAAGGGTTAAGATCCCCTTACCGGTCATCTTTAAAAAAAAAAAAAAAAAGAAAGAAAGAAAGAAACATGGATTTTTTTCCCCCAAATCACATTACTTACTCTACTCCCTCAAAGCTAAAACTATATTAAATTACATTAAAAGAATTTTTGATTCCACAACTTTTTCAGTGATAGTTTACTGGACAGTTTACAAATTACAAAAAGCAATTTTCTATAAAACATTATCCATTATACAATATAAGTTAAATAAGATTTCTGAAACCCTTGAATGCAAAGACACATAATGAGATTTATACTCTAAAGAGTAATTCTAGGGCCAGCCAGTTAGCTCATTTGGTTAGAGGGCAGTGTTGAAGACACCAAGATCAAGGGTTCAGATCCCTGCACTGGCCAGCTGCCACCACCACCCAAAAAGAGTAATTCTAAAGAGCAATAGCCAGTGATTTATGAACCATATTTAACAACATAATTTAATGACTGCTTTGTTACTAAATTATTGCAATTAGAAGAAGTCTCAGGGCTGGCCCATGGCTCACTCAGGAGAGTGTGGTGCTGATAACACCAAGATCAAGGGTTCGGATGCCATATAGGGATGGCCGGTTAGCTCACTGGGTGAGCATGGTGCTGACAACACCAAGTCAAGGGTTAAGATCCCCTTACCGGTCATCTTTAAAAAAAAAAAAAAAGAAAATGTCTCAAATTCAATAATCAAATCTTTGGAATAATGTACTATCCCACCAGATTATTTAGAAACATGCAGTTTTATCTACTGATAGCCATAAAGCTAAACTATAAAAATAATTCAAAATAGTGATCAAATTTTCAATCTACAAATATCTTAACATTTTTCAATTTTACTCAAAGTTTACTATAAGCTACATTCACAGTAAGAAATGAAATTGGAAAAGTCTCAATAAAAACAGTGCATTCTTACTGAAATCCACAGTCACTAGAAGCATTTTAAGACAACAAAAAGGCAGCAGTATAGTTTCAATCTTTCTTGGTGAAAAAGTAGAATATATAATATTTCACCCCCTCCCACTTTAAACTGTGACTATACCATTAATTAATAAAATTGGATAGAAAAAAATGGGTAGATTTTACTCAATGTGTCAATTCAACTTTATATTATAGAAGTGTGTCCTAAAAATTATAATGATATTTAAGATAAAGAAAAAGGAATAGTTATTAAACCAAAAAGGCTTCAGATTATCTCTCTCTGTGCTTTGGAAAGGCTCCTTTGTTACTGTGTTATTAATATACTTAACAAACAGAAGAACTCAACTCTGCCCTCTGTTGTAGATTAAGTCCAATAAATAAAAATTGTGAAAATGTAACAAAGGGCACAACTTTGAGCAGTGTAGAAGAGATTGAAAAAGAAAACAACAAAAAACTGGTCTGAATCTACGAAATAGAATTACTACAGAGATTCATACCATCAAACCATCAGCAAAAATACTATTCCTTTTTAAAGATTTCACAACTTCTGATCCATGTCCAACATAAAAATGGCCCTTTATAAAACGTCTCTAAGATCATTTTCTTACCAGCCCCATGGTCTAACCAACTGGGCTAACTGGCTAGTCCATCTTTTTATAGTTTCCCATTTCTGTCAAGTAATTTGAAGCTTGTGTTTTATTTCATCATATTAGGCATAGTTTTATAATCTGCTTGGTAATTTCTTTCTTTTTTTTTTTTTTTTTAACAAGATGACCGGTAAGGGGATCTTAACCCTTGACTTGGTGTTGTCAGCACCGCACTCTTCCAAGTGAGCTAACCAGCCATCCGTGTATAGGGATCTGAACCCATGGCCTTGGTGTTTTCAGCACCATACTCTCCCAAGTGAGCCACGGGCCAGTCCCTTAAGATCATTTTCAATATCCATGATTTCTTCATAAATTTGCTCCTCAAAACAATGCCTTGGACAGACTTAAAAGAGAGGCTTAACAAGGAATGCTTCTCCTTAAGAGTTAGCAGAGAACCTAAAAGTATACTTATCTTACTCTACTTCTGAAGGAAGCATTCACAGAAAAATGCTTATTACTGAGAAGTCCAGTGATGACAGTATCTCAATTTATGTGTCAAAACTTGTATGAGAATGTTGTTGGGCAGTCTTGTTAACTACTTCTCCTAAATAAAAAGTTCCAAAGTAGAAATGCTTTCAAGCCAGTCCAGGTACTTCCCAGACTCCTAAGTAAGGGACAACAGTATTTTCAAAGATTTCTATTCCTACACTTTTTCCCGGAGTTGACTATGAAGATATGGAAGATGAAAAAGAAAATAATAATAAATAAAATAAAATACCATATCACCACAATGTGATGTATCTTAAGGAAAAAACACTTACCTTAAGATGAACTTTAAAGAAGCACAAAAAACCATAATAAAGTCCATAATCTAGATTCTATAGTATAACATACAGTACTGTGATCTCCTTGTTCCTTAAATGAAGCACCTAATTTGTCTGATAACAAAATCAAATTAGAGCTGCTCTGAATATTTTTATTTCCTACTGTGAATTATCTTCCCTACCTTTTTCATTTCTTCAACATATGCAATCATGGCTTCCTCTTTGGTCATATCACCCAATGAACTCCAAGCATCCCTAGAAATGAAAATATCCAAATAATGACAAAAAGACACCTGATTTTCAATTGCTCAGAAAACAATTTATAGCTGATGCTCTAGGATCATTAATGTAAAACAGGCTCTACTCAAAGCCATGTTTTGTTTTCAAAGGATCTCTTTAAATGCACCACCTTGAAGAAAACCATCACAGCAAAAAATTGCAAATTAATAGTATTTAAAACTAATAAGTATATATATAAAACCTGTCTATCTTTATATTAATAGACCACAGAACCTACAGACTATTTGTAAATATTTGCTAAGAACTCTTTAAACATTTTTATATCATTATAAAGAATAGGAATAGAAATGAACAACTTAGAAGACTACATGAACTGTCATAGGCATGTTTTAAATGAAGAAAAGCTTGGTTAAAAGTTTCAATTAATTTAGGGCCGGCCCGTGGCTCACTTGGGAGAGCGTGGTGCTGATAACACCAAGTCAAGGGTTAAGCTCCCCTTACCAGTCAGTCATCTTAAAAAAAAATTTTTTTTTCCAATTAATTTAAATAAGAGCCTAAGTTGTACACTTGAACTAAAAATGAAAATGGTTTCTTACTTCTGAAGGAATGAAAATGTGAGCAGCAAGAAATTTTTAAAGCCCTAAATAATAAGAACAGTCCTTTGAAATTTTGCCTAACATGAAAACCTCTCTTTTTATATATTTTGCCCAGAAGGAGTCTAATTCCACCAATGTAAATTCTAGGGGAAAAAAATGAAGTAAATAATTTTCTTAAAACATACAAATTAAACAACATTGCTATTTCATTTAACCTATTACTTTATGACTATTCATTAAGATCTTAGAACAAAGTACAGTACTAAGAAATCTTCAAACAAGTTTATAGCACTTTCCAATTCAGGACGAAGAAATTTAGCATGAAAATGCGTGGCTCTTGGTTAGAACATAGTGTTGATAACACCAAGGTCAAGGGTTAAGATCCCCACACCCACCAGCTGCCGAAAGAAAAGAAAAAGTGTAGCTCTTTAAGCATTCTTCAACAATTAGCATTCTGTGGTCATAAAGAACAGTCTAAAATTGACTTTGTCAGACATTTGTAAAGTCTTCAATAAAATTTAAGAATATTAAATGTTAGTCAATTGGGAAAATGGCACAGGTATCTTGATAGTTTATAATTCTCTTAAGTATATTAAAAATCGAATTTCTCGAAATGAAAGTTTAGATAAAAAGTTAGTGTGGCAGTACCCAGTCATATTCGTAGTTATTTATTATATTAAAGGATCAAAGCAAACAGTGTCACCTGACAAGCAAAAGTCATTATTTTTCTTGGCAGGTAAAAGAGCCAGTTAAACTTTGTATTTTTAACTGAGTTTGGAAGTTGTTCTTTGCTTAAAAAAATATTTTAAAAGAGAAGGAAAAGAAAAACTCCATAAAAAGGAAAGATTAACAAAGATAAAAGATAAAAGTTTAAAAGATTAACTTTTTATCTTTTATGCACTTACCCTTTTTGGTTTTATTTTTTTCCTCTCTTCCCCAAGATTTTCCCATTTGTATAAAATTGTGTTAAGAGAACTTCAAGGATTAAAAATTGTATCCAATATCTAGGAAACTTTATGCACAGAATAATATACATCCATATAAATAACAGCCATATATGATAATTATGTCATTAAAATTAAAATTCTTTCATAGCTCTCTGTATAAAATTACCATTTATATCTTCCAATAGGATCCCAGAATCCAGGCCTTGAAAGTTTACAGGGTCCTTCAGTTGCCTGCTTATAGAAGCTATAAAACTTGAGCATCATTTCATTTGTTGGCTGGAATGAACCTATTGAAAAAATATATTAAATACAGATCACCTAGAGAATACAAGTGATATGGTAAACTTATAAATTAGCTTAGCTACTAATAGTGATTTTATATTTTATTAATAATTCAGATAATAATTTATTGTACCTTATAGAAACAAAAATTATGGCTCTGTTAATTGCTTCGTTCCTTTGATTTCAGAAAACTCTGAGATTTTAAGCTTTAATAGCAGTGCATAACAGTTCAATAAATAAAAGAATAAACAAACTTACTGTAGGTGAAATCAAAATAACTGGCAAATGTCACTTAAAAAACAAATATATTAATATGTAGAATAATTGTTATTATGCAACTATAAGGTATATTTATTCAAAGCTTGTGACAAACCAAAATTGACTAGCATAAATTAAAAAGTTACATGTATACTCTGGTTAATAAAATTTCAACAGTAAGAAATTCAGCTCCTCTTTGCCAAATTTCAGTTTCTCAGTTGATAAGAAACATTGGCGTAATAAACAGATAATATGTAGTAAACAAAACCTAGCAGTTTATAAAAGCTGTGGAAATCACAAAACAGACAAGCTGAGAGCTGGTATTTCAAGTTTGGCCAAGAGTGCATGACTAATTCCAAAATCACAATAATAATTATCCACATACATTACATGCAAATTTAGGAGTATCTATTAGCTACAGTGTTTCAATGATATAGTCCTTCTTTATACAGCAGAGGGAAAAAATGGAGAAATCACAGTTAAAAATGGTTACCAACTTAAATAACACATATCTAAATTTAAAACACCAAGCCTCATCTCATAGTATCTTCAGTGAGCTAACCAATTAATATTTAAAAGTTTACTGGCTTAGGTGAATGACATTCACATTGCAATGGATTAAAACAAAAAAACAGAACATTTACTGAATGCATTCTATTGGTAAGGCACCAGATAAAGTTATGATCCCTGTCCTCAAGGTGCTCATACATGATATATTTGACATATACATTTGAAATATTATCAAAGAATCTAAATTTCTAAAGGCCAAGTTCATACCAAACATAGATTCATTATTTATTACCTTAGGCCTTAAACAAAGATTAAGCAACAAGTAACAAAAAATCTTAAGATCTTACTCTTTGCAAAGTAGTTTAGGACAGATCAATTTAAAAGTAGTATTACAGGGCCAGCCTGTGGCTAACTTGGGAGAGTGTGGTGCTGATAACACCAAGGCCATGGGTTTGGATCTTTATATAGCGATAGCCGGTTGCTCACTTGGTAGAGTGTGGTGCTGACAACACCAAGTCAAGGGTTAAGATCCCCTTACCAGTCATCTTTTTTTTAAAAAAGGTAATAAATAAGTAAATAAATAAATAATGTCTGAAAACTTCCCAACCATGATCAAACACATAAAATTACAAATTCCAAAAACTGCAAAGTGTGAACAGGATAAATATGAGGAAAATCACACCTAAACATATCATAGCCAAACTGATAAAAAACAAAGATAAAGAGAAAAATCTTGAAAGTAGCCAGAGAAATGACACATCAAATACAACAGAACAACTCTAATGGCGTTTCTTCCAAGCTGCAAAGAAGGTCCAATATGAGCATACAAAAGATAAAACTAGTACAATGGAATAGAAAAAAAAAGTAGTAATATATATTTATTAAATTTTAAAAAATCTTTTCTCCTCCTTCATATCAAAAGTTTTAAAAAGCCTTAAATTTTAGACTTAATGAGTATATGCCACCAGACATCTCCATCCCAGATTTTGACATATCCAAATCCGCAGTCATTAAGTGACAAGACTTTTGTTCTCAACAATAAAAACTACTTAAAATCTGGATGATATATTTCTGTGGGTTTGAAAGATCAGCAGGTAATTAATTCACACTCGATACCTCCTCTTCAATTACATTCCTTTTCAACAGAGAAAAAAGTAGGCTAACTAAGCAAGACTAGAACCAGAAAAAAGGTTAAAGGAGGTGAGGTTTAGAAACTGGGGCCTCAGGCCTCCGTAGGAGGCTTCTTCAGCCCAGTGCACGTACCATTTTTCGGCAAACTCTGGATCACCTTCACGGCCGCCTCAAACCTGGTTTCATGCACGGATCTCGTGTCCGCCATCTCCAATCGCCAACGCCGTCCCCGATCCCAAGGTCTGTCGGCGGGAATCAGGCAGCAGCAGCACCAGCTTTCCCAGGAGCCTGCATGAAACTGGAACATGGAGCGCAGCCGCGGATCAACATGCCCCAAAAGGAGGAGGACCAGGAGCGAAGGTGGCCAGTTCCCCTTTGCCCTGCCCTATCCAGGCCACACAGACCGAGGTGGCCCGGCTCCTTCCTCCTCCCCGGGGCGTGACTTAGGCCTACAGCCCAGCCCGCGACAACAAAAAAGCAACTCACCGAGAGGAAGAGCATCTCTAGCAGAAGGCCGAGGGAGTCCGGCCACCGGTGGTCGCGGAGCTGCTCTCCCACCCAGAGGAAACTGGCGGAGCAGCCACACCCCCCATTCCGGCGGGGTCGGTCTGTCTGTCCGCGCCCTCCCCACGGCCCCGCCCCAGAGTCACTGGAGGACCCACTAGCTGCCGTCGCCGTGCAGTAAACCCCACCCTGCCACCCAGCGGCCCCGGCGATGACGCCTGCTGTCCGTCAGTCCCCAGAGAAGGAAAGGGGGAAAGGAGAAGAGAGACGACCGTCCAAGGGACCACTGCCCCTGAGGGTCCAGGGAATACCTTGCTGGCTTTTGTTCAGGCGGGGGAAACCGAAGCCGGACCAATATGTCCGCGCCAGCGCGGCTGGACTGGCGGAACGTGCTGGGGACATGGGGTGCACCTGGGCCCAAGTGGCGTGCGTCAGTACCACTGGGCAAAAAAAATTGACTCCACGGTCCCCAGAGCTTGCCCTCTCTTATGATAAGGTTTGAAGAAGGTGATGGGACGTAAGCAAAGCAAAGGACTTTAGATCCGGACAGGCTTGGTACTTGGACCCAGGGCAAGTCCCTTAGTCTCTCCAGTGGCAATCATTATACCACCCTAAAGGACAGAGGGAAGGATTAAGGATGCTGGGTGGAGGTGTTTAGCAGTGCTTGGATGCTGGGTGGAGGTGTTTAGCAGTGCTTGGCCTGCAGGTCTTCGACAGCTTTCGCCGGCCCGAGGACGTCTGAGCAGCAACCAAAGGAGAAAGCGGTCGTCTGCTACCAGAATGGGCCGGGCGCTCCAGCTGCCATCTCTTTAATAGGAGAGATGGAAGCATCTTTTAATAGGATCCGATTTAATAGGAGACTGGGAGTGGGGGAGGGGCGAGCGAGGAACCGTTATAGATCGTCACCCCTAGAAAAGGGTACCCTGGGCCTTCACCTTCCTAGCGCACTCCCCGCCCCCACGTCCTTAGGCATTTGGGAAGTGCCCCCAGGCCCAAAGTTGGTGGGGCAGCTATGGGTTGAGAGGGTGGCGTCTGAGGCCCGGAAATCTCAAAGTCGCCCGGTTGGGAGAGTCGTTTCTGTCAGTTTGGGATGGGTTAGGAGGATTACTACTATAAATCTAGGCACGGACCGTAAGTTACTCTTCCCTCGGAGCCGCGGTGCCGGCATTTACCTTGTTATTGCCGGGCAAGGCCTGTCCGGTAACGTTCTCGACGCCCGCCCCTCGCCCTGCCCCGCAGACTTATGGGAAATGTAGTCCATCCCCCTCCCACCCACC